CCCCAAAACCCCAAAACCCCATGGCTAGAGATATTTGCTATGAAATTATGATTTAAGATTAATTAATCAAATAATATATTAAGTCTCCTTAGATGAGCTGTTGCTTATTAGCTTTCAGCTGTGTTTACTGTCACAGTGTCTCTTTAAAGATAAAGTTATTACTCTTGCTATTTCTATGATTAAGTTAAGCTCCTTATGGGTTAAGTTATGGTCCAATTCCACTGTTTGAATTGTTTTGGTCAACATCTCTATATGATTCAAATTGCATTTAGCCATCAATACTCTGTTCACCTAAATTTTTATTATTTCTTGGAACTCCTTGCCCCATCTGCTTACTTCCCTTCAAACTAATCATATTCTTAATTATTGGAGTCTTATTTTGCAAGTTTGGCTTGGGTGGCTTATCAGATTCATCCATAGCATAGCCAAGACTTGTATGAGTAGCTTTCATCCTACCAGGTAAGGGAGTCATGTTCCTCTTTTCAAAGCTTGTCTATGTTAAATTTTTACCACTTTGCTGATTTTCATATTAAGACTGTAAAGTCACATAGTTAGAGTTTCCAATCTTAGGAAGCTTGGTAAAAGTACTACTTTGCATATTATTATTGCCTAGATTATTTTCTGTAATTTACCTTTCGTTTAAAGCTTCTTAAATATCATCCTTTAATTGAACCAAAGGGTCAACACTATTGTTTTGCCCATAATAGAATTCATTATTTAAATCTGGTGGCTGATTCTGTCTTAGATTGTTAAGTCTTTAACTCATGTTAGTTGTACTAAATCCATTAGATTTCAATTGCATTTCTCTAATTCTGACTGGAGTTACAGTCCTCGTCTACCTCTTATCAGAATTATTATTCTTTGAATTACCTGTCTATATGCTTTACAACTAACCATCCTTTTCTGTAAGTTACTATTTCAATCCAAAATTATATGCCTCAAGCTCTCTGACTTACTATTTCAAAGAATTATTCATATTTAGTAATTCTCTTGGATTCTAGAGTAAATATTTATCATCTTCATTTTCAGTTAGTAGTGCCTTGACATAAGCATTACTTTAGAGATCTCCAGACCTTATTTCTGCTATTTACTTCTCCAAGAAATCTACTCTCTCCTTCAGTTTTTCCTTATCTTTAGATTCTCTTAGATATTTTTGCTTTAACTCTCTAAGTTTTGCTCGCTTTTTTAAGATCTATGAGTTAAGTGCTTCTCTTTCTTATTCTGCTATGCCTACAGTTTTTCTTAACATATCAGCCAATCGAATGTATTGCTTTAAGTCATCATTTTCATTAGTGAGCTTCATAATCTTCTCGTCTTAAATCAAATCTTTATTCTTCAATCTAACTAATTCTCCCTCAATCTAAATGACATGACTTTTAGTAGTATCAATATTTTGTTCACTAGAAAGAATCAACTTATTCCCTTTCAAGCCAGTGTTATTCTTGATTGCGCCGATATTCAAATGTAAAAATGCCTTAAGTTGTCCAATCTCATCTTTATAAACTTTAATTACTTATTCTAGAGTGGCATTATTTGTAACAACTTTATGATGAAGTTTTTGCTAGAAATCTAGCCTTTCCCACATAAATGCCACTCTTTACTCATATCTTTCCCTATCACCTCTCAATTTAACGCATTCATCTTTGCATTCGGTTAGTTCTGAGTTATATTCTAAAGAATGTCTCTCAAGATTACGGATGATCTCATTCATTGCTTTAATATTTTGATCTTTGATCTCACTCTCATGTCTGATTATGTCTAGCTAAGATTTGAGCTAGATTAGCTTTTTTCTCTGATTCATAATATGAACCTCAAGTTTTGATAATCCCTCTTCATGTTAGGCAGTAGTAACGAATTCTTGCTCTAGCTAGTTAATTTTTTGGCTTACAAGATTATCAATCAGAGTCTTGTAAGACTCCCTTTCCTTATTAAATGTCTCAATCTGAATAGCTAGTTTCACCATCTAATCTTAACCTACTCTATACTTTTCTTATGCTTGCTGAAGTTACTTATTCTTCCATCTTATTTCATCGATGTATAAAGCCAAGTACATCAAGAACCTCTCTTTCAACATATCGTAAAAGACTATATCACTTTTATCCTAAAATACTTCTATTTACTGATGTGGCTTCTGCAGATCCTAGATCTACTTTTACATTATAGAGATAGTTGCTGAGAGCTATTAATGTTCCTTAACTTCCTCAAGATACTTCTCTTAAATTAATATGAGTTCTTTATTTTTGAGAGTTAGCTCTTAGTTTTTAGTCTGAAGCTGATTTGATTTCCACTACTCCTCCATCAGTCTCTGCTGCAAATCTACAACTTATCTGGTAAACTAATCTAACTCTGCTTAATCAGTATAATCATTCTGCTACTCACTATTGACATTTGTAATGAATGTTTCAGACATATCTTATTGTAGATTCTTTTGATTGTTATTTTGCTTAGAGACAAGGCCTTTTTCATACATATTTAGCTATGTCTGAAGGTCTTTAACATGTTAGCTTAGCTCTTCTATGGAATTCTCTTTCTTATTAATTTATTCTTCTAATTCTATGTTTTTGAACTCAATTTTAAGTAGACTCTCTCTAACCACTACTAAATCTTCTACATATTGTTTAATCTTATCAGAAGTTGGTTATTAGTCATCAGTAGTCTAGGATTTTTTGGCATGTGTTTTGGATGGTGATTTGCCAACAACCATATTTTGATACTCTCCCATATCATAGGTGACTCTCAATCTAACAAGCTCATTCTTTAATTCAACTATCTGCTTTTTGTTTAAGAACTCTCTTGCTATTGATTCATCTTTTATCTTTTTTATGCTGTCTACTTCTTTTTTGAAAGCATTATTTTCCCTTCTTAATCTTGCATTTTCATAAACCAGTTAAATTTTGTCTCTTTTCAATCTACCACCTTCAAATAATTAAAGCATTGTCTTAATACTGTCAAAATCCTTATGTCCTTAAATTTATGTTATTGTATTTTGCAAGAATTATTCTTTCATTAGCTGGATTTCTTTCTAGTAATTCAAGTCATTTTCTTCTTATTTTCTAATATGACTCTAAAGCTCTGGAATAGCAGTTTATTTGCATATCTCAAGTTATGACTGCTAATCCTGAATCTATGAGGCTTGCTTATTCAGTTACCAAATTAGTATATCTCTTTCCTCTCTCAGTAGGTTTAGTTCATTATATAGCTAATACTAAAATGATTCCTACCCTTAGACCTTCTTCTTAAATTCCTAAGCTTCATATTTGGAAAAGTGAGTCTTAAATGATTCAATCTCAACTCTCAAATCATCATTTCTTTCGTACAATTTATTCTTTAAACTGTTAAGTTCGGACATCTTTTTCCAAATTTCATCAATATCCTACTACATTGTAATCTCTCTTCCACTTACAAAGAGACTATCTTTGCCTTTTTATGAATCAATCAAGTTTTATTATGAACTGTTAACTCTTGCAAATTAATTTTGATTATCATTATCATCCTATTGCATCAATTATTTCTCCATTTCTCTCACTTTATTGCTCAATAACTAAATTTTCTAATCCTTTTAAGTATTCTTATTTTCCAGGATGTAAATCTTTTCATGTAGCTTTGTTAATGAAGCCTCTAATTTGACATATTCTTACCTCAGATTTTTAAGGATTGAATCGTTATCATTTTGATGTTGTTAAGTGGATGTATTATTGATCTGCATTTTAACCTTTTCTAGTTAAGTTTAGGCTGCAGTTGTAGATTGAACATGCTAAGGAATTTGCTGAAGCACACTTACTTAGGAAAAATCATTATGGATCTTAGAAAGGGCCTCTATTTGGGCTGACTTTGAGAGAATTTCTTTCTCTAATTAAGTATTCCATTCTATCTATTACTACAGCTCTCTCTCTAATAGTTCTAATCTGTGATTATACTTTTATTAACCATAATTTTAACCTTGGGGTAATGATCCTTTAATTTAAGTATTGTTTTCTTACTTCAGAAGAGTTATTGATTTTTCTAATGAATCATTTCTTTCTTATAACAGTCTATTTTCTATTCTTAACTTATCAATTTCTATAGACATTAGTTTTTCCACTTGTTCTTGATCCTCTTCATCATTTCGCTTGAAAATTAAAGTATTTTCTCTATAAGAATATAGGCATAACCTTGATAGGTAAATATTCTAGAGCATCAGATTGCTGTTTTCTGATTATATTTAGGTACTTAAATTACTCATCTTAATGTTTTAAGTCTAAATCACTTTGTGTTCCTGCTCAAAGAATGATATCAGCGAAAGGTCATGCATGTTTTTAGTCTTCAATACCTTGATTTTAGAGTCATATTGAATAAATTAGGATTTAAACTTATTCAGCTCAAGTTAAGTATTCAGAAGATATTATAATGACGATCTCTGATATTGAAAGGTTTTCTTTTCTTGCTACTAAGTGGGGATCAAAGTAATTTTATGATGATCCATTTTCGATGAAACACCCTTCTTGGATGAACTAGGCTAAGGACTTTCATTAATGGCCTAATCTTTTCCTTTCGTCGGAGAATTTTCATTCAATTTTACTATTTATTGTGGCTCAATACCCAAGTTTGATTCTTACACTATCTTTGAAATATAATCGAAGTCCTTATCGTATCTTGACAAGATACCTTAGCTTAACTTAGTTTGAAGTGTGTAGTGTAGAATTTTTGTTTATATAAGTTTATTTTGCTTTTGAATCTTTTAAAGTTCATGATCTTTACATTTTAATTATTCTCCTAATATATGTGCAAGTCTTTCATAATAAATTGAGGCTTCATAGTAATAATTCCGCTATTTTTAAACATCATTAAGCATTAAAGCTATTAACTTAGCATTATCTACACATCTCGAAAAAGCTATGATTTAATTTTTTCCTATCACAGGAATAGCTAATTCAACATACACATCTAACGCTTATTACTGCGCTATAAAATCATCATTTAATTTCTGATACATAAATTCAATCTTTTCTAATGACTCATCTTTATTGCCTAAAGCCTTTTTCTATTGTTTGATAGTATTCTCGCATTGCTAAAGTTTTTCTGATTTGTCTTATAGTAATAGCATTAAGGTAGTATTCTTGACTTTAAGTTCTTACATTTCATTTGCAAGTTCATGAATTGATTACTTGTAATGAGCTATTTCATCTAGGAATTTAATCACAACATTTGCTCCATCTTTTCCTATCTCATAAATTAGTTTATCTTTATTAATAGATGAAGTATTCTCCACTCCAAGAAGAGTGCTAAATTAGCCATCCTAGATTTGTTAAGGCACTTTTAGTACTTTCAATTTTTCATTATCTATTATTAGCTCTCTTATCTTTTCTTCATATTACCTCAATATATTTTTGCTCTCCTTTATCTTTTGAGTTTTAACTTCTAGACTCAATCTCTTACTCTTGAGATTTTAACTTAATTGCCAATTCTGCTCCCTAAGTCTTAATGTTTCCTTATTCAATGTATCTGCTGTATTTATGAGCAAATCCAGGGCCTAATCCTAATTTCCTTTGAATAATGTCTCTTTTTATGCTTTAATCATTCTTATCACTTCACTATCCTTCTCTATTAATTTCTTTTAAGTGTCTAAAAGTGTTTGCTCTAAATTTTGAAATAACTCCTATTCTCTTAAATGTCTTTCGTCTTGCTTAAGTAACTTGTGATTAAGATCCAGCACTTATTGCTTAAGAGTAGCAATTTCTAGGGCTAATGCTTCATTATATGGAGTTAGAGTTAGAATTTGAGATCTTAAGAATTAATTTTCATTTATCAAATCTTCTTTATAGAAATGTTTGAAATCATCAGCCATTGCTTTCTTAGAATGCAAGAATTTTTTCAAAAGAATATTTTGCTCTTATAGCTACTAATTCTTTGATCTTAAGTAATTCTACTGATCTTTATGCTTTTAAACCTTACCGTTTAGCTATAAATGATCCTCTTCTAATTCTTTGATCCTTTAATTCAGATACGATTTCTCATAATTACCTAATGTTTGCTTCTCTAGATAACTCTAACTTCTAGATTCCTCAAATAAGTTATCGATGCTTGAGTATTAATTTTACATCAAGCTCAAAATAATTGGTAGCTCTTGATTCAGAGTTTCCACATAGAATTTACACTTTTCAGAGTTAAACTGGTTCTATAGTAAATCTTATACCATATTGAGCCACTTTTAGAGATATTCCTTCTGCTTTTAGTGCTTATCTTCAAGGTCATAATCTTAATTAGCTTCTTTTACTTTTGTGTCAGCAGTACCTTTAATCTTTTGGGATATTTTATTATCATTGAAGTTTGTTTGAAATACTTCATTGACATTGATTAAGTCGTTTTAAATCTTTTCATTTACTTTTTATAAATAAACATGCTCTTCTCCTTTTTTGACATCATCTTCTTTTGTTAATAAAACCTATCTTTCATAGTCTTAAATGACTTTGACCTGCATATCAAATTTCCTCATGCTAAGTATTGCTTCTTTTTCCTCATTGCTAACGTAATATACACAATTCTCGTTGAATTTATCCCCTATAATAGTCTTTTTAATAAGCTCAATTTCGTTCTATTAGTGCTTGATTAGTATATCTTTGAGATTAATCATTCGTTTTAGTGATTCAATTCTTGAAGACTCGATCTATTTTTATGTAGGTCCATGATTGATAGCCTAGATATTTGGAATATTCTGCAAATCTCTTATTTGATCCTCTAAAGTTTTGAAATGTCTTTGATAAGAGGCTATAATTGAGGAAAGTGTTTGAATTCTAGCAGAATATATATTCAAGTACTTCTCAAGTTTTGCTTGATGTTCTGCCTGTGTGATAGTTTGATTTGATGGTTTCATTGTTTCTAGAGTATCTTTTTACTTTTATAATGCAGTAATTTGATCTGAAACTACTTGATACCAACTCCCAATATACTTATTTATGACATTCAGTCTTTCATAAACAGTTTCTGGACCAGTGAATGCAGGTAGTCTAGGAAGTTTATTAATTTTTTCTATAGGCTTTTAGGCTATTGGAAGCTGGGATTGAATTAGATGAGTAATTTATTCCAAGTTAGTATTCATTGAAAGTATAATATCTTCAGTTCCTCGCATTAGCTTTTCCTTCTCAAGACTTCCTTGTAAAGCTATCTGGAGCATATATTCTAGTTCTGAATTCTTTTAATTTAACTCATCAATCTAGACCAGATATTTGACTATATCGTCATCTGGAATATCAGCATTTCCAATATTAGATTAATCATCTTTAGACTCTGATATTCCTCCAAACTTCCTAAACTGCTCTCTCTAATTTTTAATCAATTATTGCAGATATCTGATTTATTCAGTTAATTTTTTATTATCAAGATTTAGTGATAATCTCTCTTTATCCATTTTATCCAGCTTATGTTTTAGCAGATCACATTCTTCTCTAGCCAAGAGCTCTTTTTTTCTTAAAAAATTATTAATCTTTGTCAAACCTTCAAGCTTATTTACTTGGGGATCTTTCTTTTGAACTGCTTTTTATGCTTTTGGGGAAGTTTTACCTTATATAGGTTAAGGAGGAATCACCTATGTAATCATGAAGTCTCTTACAATAAGTTAATTAGTCAGTTCATTTTTAGACACGAGAATCTTTTTAATCTCATTGATTAGTTCTTGATTCTCTGACTATCTATTGAGTAAAGAGTCTTTAAGTATTGAAATCTCCTTTAGACTATCTGAAGCTTATCTATTTCTGATTTTCTACTCTTAAACAAGTTCTTTTTAAGTTGCTGATAGCTTCAAAAAGCATTCCCTCTATCTGTCCATGATGTCTCCCAATATTTTATTCACATTAATCCTTGCCTAAGGCTACTTAGCCTTCTTATCATAATCATTAGCAAATCTAGGCTTTTTGCCTTCTATGGTTATTAGATTAGTGGTCTGTACTTTTTTCTTATTCATTTATTCTTGAGTTTTATTTAGATTTTGGACTTGAGGCTAGATTTTATCTTGTTTTTAAGGAAGTTGATTCTAAGTTTTATTTGCAGCTTGGTTAATTGGATCCTTTATCAGGGTTTAATTGGCGTTAAGTGTAAAGTTAAATGCGCTACTGTTATTTTGTTCTCCCATTACGCTATTGATAATGTCTGAAATCTGATCTAGATAATCGAAAGCTTCTCTAAGCATAATTTAAGCATTATTATCAGGTCTGTTCATTAACTCAATCGTTTAGGTATCAATTTGAATCTCATTAACCAAATGCTCCAACTTTCTAATCTATTAATTAGGAGTCTCCATTGATCTTGACTATCTTATCTACATCTCTCTCTATTCAATAATCAGATGATACTCATTCCTCAATCTCTCAGAGTTGTTTTGGTTTAACTTGTACTCTAACTCAATATTGCTCTTGACTACAGTGTCTAGAATTTTAGACATTCTCTAGAACTCTGTCGCCTGCTAGTTTTACAAAAACAGAGTAATGATGCTAGTCTCATCTTTACTTAGTGGTGATTGATTTCTAAGCTTCAATAACTTTTCATATTGGGTTTAGTCGAAAACTACGTACTTCTTATACTGGATAAGCTATTCCTCTATTTCTTAGAGTTTGATTTTAAGTTTTTTGTTTTCGTTAAGCTAGTCCTTAGAATACTGTTCATATCTAAGTAGATGCTTCTCTGTTTACTGCCATTATTAATGAAGCAGATTTGAAAACTCACTCCCCTCTTCTTTTTTGCCAGAGTCATTCCCTGATTGTAGTTTCATTTAATTCAACTATGACTAGCACATCACTAAGTGAGTTTGCTGTTAAAGATGAGTAAGCAAGAGGTACTCATATTTATCATGTAGCTAATTAAGCTTATCTTCATAGAAATTTAACAACTCTTCCTTGAAGTTGTGTCTAGTAATGTTTCTATCGATGTATTAAAGAGCTTCATTTATCTTAGCAACAGTGAACTCTAAGTTCTAAGGATCAACTTGGATTTGCTTCAGGATGTAGTGAACATTTGGCCTATCAATCTAAGATTAAAGCTTTTCGAGTTCATTCTGAAGATCTTTCTGAGAGAGGTCTGCTTTTTTGTATTGATTCTCAAGTTTTCTGTTAGCCTCTTCCAGCTTTAAGTTTTCAACCTTAAAATGAATAAGTTACTCTTAAAGCTCTGCAATTATAACCTACTCTGTTGATAACTGTAACTAAGGCAGAGTGATCTGCTTCTCAATAAAATTCTTATCCCTTTCAACGAGCATCTTTTCCAATTCAATTCTTAATTGAGTTTCCTTCTTAAGTTATTCTTAGACTTATTTTTCCAAAGTCAAAGTTTTATTAGTTAGACTCTCAATCTTCCCTTACTTAATTTTATCCTCATTTTTTAGAGACTGATTCTCAATGTTTTTCTCTTGAATTGACTCAGTCAAGTCTTTAATCAACTTAGAATTAGTATCAATCACATTCTCTAGAGACTTTATATGACTTTGCAGGTTCTTAAATTTATGATTCAAATCCTCTCTAATCTTTTCTTTAACAGATCCTATCACTGAAGCCATTTAAGTGCCTTAAGTTAACTTTTACAAAGCTTTATTCCTTATCTAAATGTCTTGTTCTAACTCAATTATACGTTCTTAGAGGTGATCTATCTTGCCCTTTTGCTCAATAATTGTCCGCTTATGCTAAAGTAGCTCCTCTCTCTATTTCTTAACAATTAGCTGAGGATTTTTAGAGGGGTCATCATTTTTATCTGAATAGGTATCAGTCTATATCTACTTATCTTTCTAGTTATTATAATTAACTCCAATCAATGTCTTTATCTCGTTCTGGAGTCTTAGATTATCACTTTCTAGCTCTAAAATTCTTTACTACATCTAGACAATCATTAAGCAAGGTTAATATATATTTAAATACCTTTGATTCATTAACCTTCAAAGTATTGATCTCTATCTACTGCTGGTTGTTATTAGAAGCATCTTTCATGTTCTTGGTAAGATCAGTGAAAAAAAGTATTTTCTAATCCTTGCCGTTATTGAACTCAGAGTCTTCTTTCTAAAATATCAATAAATTTCAATTATAATAATAAGTTTTTAAAGTGATAGAATTTATT